CCGATAGACTTTTAGGCAGTGTAACGGAGAACCATCGCGCCGCTTGGGACTCGAACAGTTGAATTTTGTATAACGCATCAATATGTATGAAGTATCGAAAATAGTTTCCTTTCTCAATGTATCCGATTTCTCGCTAAGTCGATTTCCAAAAATGTCTGCGCCATTAGAAGATACTGAGTATTTCCATATTTGGAAGTTTAAGTCATAAACAAATGATTTAATTACTCGAATAGCAAGAGATCAGTAGTTTTCTATTTTTCTATTGTTCAAGTAACTGATATATAATTCAGCTTCATCTGTTGATGGTTTTGTATATTTCCGAGAATCGTCGTCCGCAAAGGGTTAAATACGAAATTTTACAATTTTGATGCACCAATCGAATGGTGACTGAGAGGCACCTTCCGAGTGCAAGGGGTTAACGTTCGGTCGAAAACAGTGGCTACGAATGAGACCGGTCGGAATAAGGGAAGGAGTTAATCGGTTGTAAACGGCGATCATTCCCCGCGGCTGCCCGGCCAGGGACGATTTTCTTCGGCCGATTGGAACGGCTCGCAATTAGGTTTCTCGTGCGCGTGCAGGCCATTGACTTGGCCGCGGAACGGTGCAAGGCGTTCCGATGCAAACTGTCCCTGGAGGAGGTCAATACACTCGACTTTGCATCGCGCCGCGTATTTCGTCGTGCGCTAGGCGTCATTCGGTAAAGCACAGAGGGAAGCCGCATTAACGAAGCTAATTTATTTACATTGTCCTTATTACATAGGTTTCAATGTACAACGGGGATACCCATAGAGTTCGACCGACGACGCTCGACGCTCGCCGAGTGAAACGGTCTGCTCCGAGGGAATCCGTTACCTCCTGCGACTTAACGCTATTCCTATCGACACTCCGCGTATACCTATTCCTACCGCGACCAGTCGAATGACTGCTCTTTAGCACAACTTATATTTTTTAATATAGAATGAAGATAATAGCCAATTTGACAAAATCTATCTAAAATGTAAAAAGTACTTTCGTAACTTTCAGCCGAAGATCCATCCGATAAAACTTAGTTCGTTCGATGCGTCAGCAAAAAGATGAGTGTTCAAAATTACGTTAAAATTGGCGTCGCCTGTATTCGAGTCGAAGTGTTAAGACGTTGAATGCCGAACGGTCTCACGGAGAAAAGTACACGAAATGCGAGGAAATATTACGTTACGTAACTCCGACTTATTCTACCTTCCGATTCTACTAATCCTATCTTCTTTCCTGAAAGCCTCGGTGTCGTCTTTCCACCGTTCCTGCCGAACAGAACATTAAAACTAATACGTTAATACTATTACTATTAATACTCACGCGTTATTGTAAAGCAAGAGGTTAAATAATCATCGTTTAATCGAGTGAATCCTATAATTACGTACAAGCATCTACTCCGCAACTCTCAGTTAATTACAATACGTGTCAGACGCACACAATGGCCTACGAAGAATCATGTTCCCAATTATCCACCGGGTCAATGGTACCGAAACGGATAAGAAACCTGTTGGGTCTTTGATAAGTTAGCTGTATTACGAATATAACGCAACAACGAAGTCGTTACCCGAACGATACACAGAGTACAATCTGTTACGTCGATATACATCGATGTATATACTTCTCCAACAAAAACCGTGGTCGTAACCGTAGATGGGCAGTCGCTAAAATGAAAGAACGATTCAGCATATCCAGGCAACTGTGTCAAGGGAGACACAGGAATTTAGTGTTTCAAACGGGATAAGTGTTCCCAGACAATTGGAAATGCGGCATGAATACGGAGACACCGGGGAACAGAGTCTACTAACCTTATTCGTTCACGCTTGGCCGCCGCGTCGCGCCGGTGTAATCTACTTCTCGCTATCGAAAGGCAATCTAGCCCCGCACAACGGCACCGTAAAGGTGCAAATGCAGCTACCGGTTGCAACATTCTCGTTCCCCAATGATTATTCGCGTGGAATGAAAGAATAAACTGGTTCTCGTATCTCTCGCGGAAAAGAGTATCACCGTCGATCTTTTTCGCAGCCGCTCGAAATGCCGCGGAACGCTTTCTTCCCATGGAAAAACGAGCCCCGCCACGGTGAAATGATTCCGCGGTGCGTTTAGAAGCCGAAGACAATCCGTCCGCGTTGTGTCGGGCCGATTTCAGCGAAGGTTACCGGAGGACGCGCATAATTAATCGTTACATCGGCACCGTTGAGCTTTAATTGCATAATACGACGTTCACTGCGCGTATTATGCACGGGATAATGATCGATGCTTGGTTCCTAAGGTAACAACGCTGATGGAAATAGAGATTCACGTGGAATCGATAATATATTTCCGGAGAAAATCCTGGCTTCCGTTCTTGCCGGTGTATTCGTGTATTCGGATGACGCGGAACTGCGCCCGTTTAAACAGACTCGACCCGGATGAGAGCCACTGCTGCACGCCAGGCCATCGATATTATTCGTTTAACCTTTGCTGTTAATTTCATGCGCGAACGAAGTTTACGATTTTCAATTTTAGACGAGCTTGGCATGATAGATGTTCATTTTACACGAATTGTTTCAATGGTAAGACTTTTGGTTTTTCGCTTTTATTTGTGATTTGTAATTTTCGAATTTAATCATTCTCGTTTTGCACAACTGGAACGGTGAAAGTGGTCTGCCGGGTGTAGGTCGTTTGACGACTGTGAAAGGTTAAATTCAGCTCGTGTTTTTTCATTGGCAGAGCGAGGGCTAATAGTTTATTAGATAAATGAGAATATTTTGGAACGATATTAGTGCCGTTCTTTTTCTTAACGCGTGTCGAGACGATCAATTTTCTGATAATTAAAGGAAGTATTCTTTTTAACGAGAAACGCGTACTAAGTGAAATTTGTGGTTATTAGCGATACTTATCTAGATTTTCTGATTATTCATGCTTCTAATTGATCGTATACAAACATTAATGAAGTGATCATATTTCACGATTTCATGTTGTTAAAGTAATTGCCTGTGTACCTGTTTCCTGAAGACTAATTAAAGTAGTGCATACATTGTTCGATGGATAGATCATTGTTCACGCTTCCACTATGGTGAATACCTCGAAATTTCTTCAGCTCGAATTAAACTGAATCGAAGAACGAATGTTAACGAATCTATGGAGAAGAAACGATTCTATAACACAGGAACATTTATTCCATTTCACGTTCCTACGCAAAACAAATGGATCGTAAAAGATTGCAAAAGATAATATTTAACCGAAGAAAACACCGATTTATCAGTCGAAGATTGCAGTTCATAAAGCCTAGCACATTCATTTTATAGTTAACTTTGCGGTTCACACAAAGCAACATTGTCTTCCGCAAAAAAATCATAGTTTGTAACGATTTACCTCGAGGCAGCTCGTTTCCAGCGTGTAAGATTTTATGGTGATTGCTGTGATAGGTATGTAGTTATTCATGTCAGAACTCGTAAGAAGTAATTACTCGAATATTTCATCTTCAAGCTTACGTAAAACGCAGCGGCATAATCGTGAAACGCTTCTTCCCATTAACGAGGCTCGTTTACATAAAAACACAATTTTCAAATCTTTGTAATCGCGTTAATGTTGAATAATGTTAAGTGTATTACAAGAACGTTTCGATCTAGTCGAATCAGGATTGAGACGAAATAATATTTTAGGCTCGCGCCGTGGAATCTTGTTCTTAACACGTTGCGTACCGTAGAAATCTCGTTTTCATGTAGACACTTAGCTATGCAACTTAACTACAGCATTGAAAAAAGTATAAAATTTAATTCGAATTGATTATCTGTTTAAAATATATTTTATAGCAATATGATATCTGAGTTTTTCAAATTGCCATCCGCACGATTCAGTCTTTTGAAAATTAGTACGCAATGTTAATGAAACATTGCTTTTCGTTAGTTGAACACGATGGAATTGGAAAATTGAGAATTTAGGCTGGGGAATCGATAACTAACGCGACGATCGATGTGTTCTCGAATTTAAAGCCCTTTTACAATTCTTCCGTTTCATTCATGGCGGAATTCAAGGACCCCGGTGTCGTTAAATGGAAATTTCATAGACGCTCGGTCTTTAAACGTAAAGTTTTATTACCTGCGACCACGGACGACTTCGATCTACGCGAATTTTACTGGTTTTCTGCCTTCGTTCAAGGATAAACGCAAGAAGAGCCAAGTAAAGTTTGTCTATTGTCTCGCGGACAATGTGAAGCGAGCGTAATATTAACATTCGCGTGTTTAATTACCGCGGATATTCATTTTCATCGTTTACGTCTTACTAGATTGTAGGTTATCCTAAGTTTCCGAAATATATGAAACGTACAAACATATTTTGCATGAAAACGAGTAAAGGAATTCTGGTCGAATATAAACTCAAGCATTAAGTGATGTTCAAATATAAAGTTCGGTAAGTGCTCGTATTGATCCAAGAATTAGAAAAAATAGTATATAAAGTTATAAACAACGAAATTTAATATTAACTGCAGGGTAATACTTCGAAGTAATTACAAATAATAATATAAGAGAACAATGAATTTATTGTTGTTGTCTCTTTCTGTCTACAAGAACTTAGAATATTTATTTCAAATGACGAAAGTCCCAAGAAAACGTTTTCTTATTTTCTTCTTTTCAGAAATTCTACTACAGATAAAAATGGCCCTTTTTATATTCCTATCTACAAGCCCTTATTAGAATATTTATCTAAAATGGTAAAAATCTCTAATAAACGTCGTTTTCTTATTTCCTTCTTTCCAGAAATTCTACTATAGATAAGAATGGCCCTCTTTATATTCCTGTCTACAAGCCCTTATTAGAATATTTATCTAAAATGGTAAAAATCTCTAATAAACGTCGTTTTCTTATTTCCTTCTTTCCAGAAATTCTACTACAGATAAGAATGGCCCTCTTTATATTCCTGTCTACAAGCCCTTATTAGAATATTTATCTAAAATGGTAAAAGTCTCGAACAACCGTCACTTTCTTATTTCTTTCTCTTTTTTCCAGAAATCCTACATGGTGGAAGAGGCGTTCAGCCCTGGAACGGGGATTAACTGTGATCGCAGTTTCCGGGGTTCTTCTGTCCGTTGCGTTAGCTGTTGCACTTGGAATTCTGGCGGCAAATACTGCTTCCTGTAACGGGTCGCAGAGCAACGGTAACACTCTTTTCTGTTCCGTTCTGTGCTGCGATAAAGCAACCAATACGAATACACATGTTCAAAGGAAAAATGCATGCGGCGCGCATTTGTAGTCGTGTTTATTCACATTACTGCTTGCAAATAACAGTCTTAGAACGTAACACGCAAGTTTTCAGAAAATTTGCCATTGAAGTAACGTCCACAAACATATTCAACGGATAATTTATTATTAGTAGACCACAGACATTTTTGAAAATCGGAATATAAAATTTTATAATTAAAAATCATTAATATCATTGATATTTATAAGATAAACGATTATATTTTCACGTTTCTCCTTGTGAACAATTGTTGCAATGTTAGTCTGTTTGTAAAAGTGACGAAACGTATGGATAATAATATAGACAGACGA